GTTATCATGGGGTCCAGTGGCAGCGCCTTGAAGAGGCTGGATTTGGGCCTGGGGTGTTGAATGAGGCTCCGTCATGGGGGTGTCCGATGGCACCGCAGCTGGGGCGGGGGGGACTGGATGTTGACTGGGGGCCTGTATGTGGAGCTATAATAGGGGTTCTGTCGGCACCGCAGCGGGTATTTTGTCCGGGGAGGGGCGCTTAAGAGACAATAATGGGGGCTCACGGCTGCGCCGCTAGGGGGGGGCGGGGCCCTGAGGGCTAAGTCAGGGCCACCCAGGACTGGGTGGTGGTCCCAGCGCGGTGAGGCCCCTCCATCCCACTTCGCCGTCAGCCACCGCACCTTGGACGCCCCTGAGCCCTCTCCAGCCTCCTGCCTGGCTCAGATCGAGTCCAGGGCCCCAGCCACAGGGGAGGGGCCGGGGTGGGCCGAGAGAGCCCGTCTGGATACCCCTCGCTGCAGTGGAGACCCAGGGGGGCTTAGGGGGGCCCCAAGAGCTGACAAAGGGACAAAGAAAGCGTCTCTCTCTGACAGTGCCAGGCAGGGTGGGGGGCACTGACTGTGACCCCTCCACTCGTGCAGTGCTCATTGGTCCCCAGAAGGGGGTCGCTTGCCCTCTGTCCTACACTCTACCTCCAGGTTCCCTCCAGTTGGGGGCACCTCCCCAGACGGGGTGCCATAGGGAACCCCTGCCCCTGCCCAGAATGTGTAGGCATTGGAGCTTGAAGTATTTGCAAGAGTCCCGGGACCGGGCAGTTCTCACTCTCAGCCCTGTCAGCCCTCCCTGGCTGAGATCTTTGGCATCTTACCCCTGAGGTTGTCATCTCTGACCCCAGATCTGAGGGGAACTGGGGCTTGGGGTTTAGGGATCTGGATTTGGATTTAAGGAGGAAGGAGGGGGGACCGATGACTGGGGCTGCAGAAGGACCCCCCATCTCATTTGCAAATTGCATTTCTTCATATTTCTTTGGGTTCCCTCAGCTTCTCCAGGGGTCCCAAATCAGAGTTCAGTGCCCTGGGACACCCCTACCCCATGAGCTCCCCGGCCCCCATCCCCTTTCCTAGTAGACACGGTTTCTTTCAAGGATAAAAATTTCAGATGTGTCTGGGCAGTTGCTGAAAGTCTATTTTGAGGGAGTATAGCATGTGGGGGTCGTGGGTGGGGTCCGGACTCACCTGAGAGGGGGTCCCAGAGAAGAAAGCGGCTGTGGGTCGGTGGGGCCCTTAGGAAACCCCTTGGATACCGGGCAGGTGGCAGCCTGCAGAAGCCTCACTGAACTGTGGAGTGTCCACCCTGTACGGGCTCATTCCCAAGAGCAGATTGGGAAACTGAGGCCCAGAGAGGCAGCAGAGAGGGTGAAGAGGGAAGCCAGGCCTCTCCGCTCCTGGGACTGCTAGATGGGGTCCGGGGACAGGTGCCCCCACATGAAACCCAAATGCTCTCCCAAAGGTCACCATCCTGGGCTGGGCAGAAGTTAGGCCTGGAGCTTCCAATGCCCTATCCCTCTCAAAAAAAAACACAACATAAAAAAAACAACTCAGCATAGAGGAAAAGGCAGGAAGTGAGAGGTGTGGCCCTAGGCAGGTCTTTCGATCTCCCCAGGAGGTGCTCTTCGGGTTTAAGGAGCTCAGTGGAGGGAGATGAGGCAGAGACAGGTCACGGAAGAAAGCCCTGGATTTGTAACCTCGCCATTGTCCTTCCACTTCCCACCTGCCTCCTGCCAGAGCCGAGCACCCACGGGTCCTCAGGGTGCTGTCACCTTCCCTGCTTTGAGGTGAGAAGCTGCCTCTGAGCCAGCGGAGGTATTGAGTCACTAGGAGCGGCCGTTCTTGCTCTAGGCCTCAGCTTTCACCTCTGTCCACTGGGTGAGGAAGGTGCTGGAGATTTGCGCTGTAGAAGAGTTTGGCATCTGCAGTGGCCGCCCAGGGCTTGTGACAGGAGTTGCCGGGGTTACCTGGGGCTGGACCTGCAAGATAGACATCAAACTGTCCTTGGAAAGGTGACCCTGACGTCAGCCAGGGGAGCTGGGTCCCCAGGGGCTGAAGGACGTGCTGGTTGCTGCCCAGTCTCCTGGGATGGAGGGTGTCCCTGGCTGAACCTGGGGTGTGGCCCTGTCCTCTGTGCCTGGCCCTTTGCCAGGTGATGCTGGGGGCCCAGAGAGGACTCAGCCAGGGTTATGACAGGTGGAAGCAGGGAAGGCTGCCTGGAGGAGAGGATACTGACACTGGGCTTGAAGGAGGACAAGGATGTTGCCAGGAGAAGAGGGAGGCAGGGATTCCAGGTGGAAGGAGCAGCAAGGATAGCAGCTGCATGGTGAGTTGCTGGAGTCCTGAGTGGCTGGGCTGTTTTAAGGGTGGGAGACCATGGATGATGAAGCCTGAGAGTTAGCAGGTGCTGTAAATGCCAAGATAAGGAGTGGGCTTTGTCCCAAGGGGAACAGGGAGCCATAGAAGGTTTTAGAGCGGGAGAGTGAATGGGCAATATCTCAGACCTTGAGCAACAGTGAGGAAGAGTAGTTACCAGGAGACAGGCTCCTGGAAACCCAGTTAGCTGCTTGGCACAGTGGTGGGCCACCCATCCTGGGAGGTAGGCAAGTGGGGTCGTACAGCCATCTTTCCAGAATCCTGGAAAAATAATTCTGGTATCGGGTAGGTCCAGGTGACCCTCCAGATTCCTTCTAAATGTCCAGGGACTGTGGAGTTTCTGAACCGGAATGTTTAAGATACCATGATTCTGAAATCCCAAGTCATTTAAAGGGCTGCAGATTCTCAGACTAATTCCTCTCGAAGACCTAACAGTGATTGGGGTTGACGGTGGGTGGAGCCTCACTTAGCAGAAATAGAAAAACTGAGGCTCCAGGGAGCCCCCAACAGACACAGGCGAGAGCCAGGGCCTAAGAGGTCTGGACCTGAGCCACAGAATTATCTTTTATTTCCACGGCCATTCATCACCTGTCCTGCGGGATGTCCGGATAAAGTGGTGGCATTGAAGCACTAGGAGGAGACTTGGGAGGCCAGGACCCCCACCTGTGGGCAGGGATACGGGCCTGTCGCTAGCCGCCCTCGATGACCCTTCACTGTCTGGTCCCAGGGTCCAAAGGTGGCTACCCCAGGGCCTGCAGGGAGGGAGACCCTGTTTCGTGAGGACTACATTCCCCAGGATGCACCTTGGCCCAGGCTAAGCCAGCATTCCAAGGGCAGACCTAGGAGAGAACTTCCCAAATGGAGGAGTCCAGTAAGGGTGGTGGGTTCTTAAGGGAGCCCTCATCCGAGGCAGATGGGGAGACCAGTTACTCAACAAAGGCTGCCAGTGGCCTCCACGGGCTGTGTCCCATGCTGCGTGACGCTGGGGTCCCAGAGGAGGAGGCTTTTGCTCTGTTTGGCCCTCAGGGGGGCAAGGAAACAGACGCAGGCATTGGCCCTCTGCTACATGGGGTCAGGGCCTGGGCACAGTGAGCAAATGGGTCTGGTGAAAGTGGGTTCTGCCCGGTGGATCAGAGAAGATGCCCTTTGGAGGGGCATTGCATCTAGGACCATGATGAATGTATAGGAGTTCACCAGAGGCGCCCACACGTTCTCTGATAGTTTCAGAAGAGCAGCCTTCCTTTCCTGGAGAAGAGTGTTGGGGCAGTTGAAGTAGCCGCTCTGAATGATTGCCCTTAGAGATGGCCACAACCGTCAGATCAGACTTACCTGAGTTTGAGTCCATCTCTTCATTCACTCACTCAGGCCCCCTCCTGTGAGCCTCAGTTTCCCCACCAGTAGATCACAGATGCTAGTCTCTCTCTCTCTCTCTTAGGGTTCAACATTTAAACAAGAGGATGCAGGCAAAATGCCAGGCATAGTCCTGCGTTTTTTTTTCTTACTCCAGTAAAAGGAGTTACTTTGAAAACCAGAAGGTGTGTCCTCTGGCCCTGATTGCAATGGGAGCCATGGGTCTGTGCTCTCATTTGATAAGCTGACAAGTACTTAATGAGCACCTACTATGCGCCAGGTGCTAGGAACCCGGCAGTGACCGAGGCTGACTGGGCCCTGCCCTTGTCATGCTCACAGCCGGGTGGGGATAGGGACACTAACTAGAGAGAGAAAGTAAATCAAGTATAATGAGTGGTCTGAAGACAGTGATATTGGATGATGTAGCTGAGAAGGGCAGAACTGATGGAGTAGGGAGGGTGTCTTAGAAGGTGGCATTTGAGCTGAGACTTGGAAAATAAGAAGGTGTCAGCCACTCAGAGACCTAGAGGAATAGCGTTCCAGGAAGAGGGCACAGCCTGTTCAGAGGCCCTGGGGCAGGAATGTGCCTGATGTATTGGAGGAACTGGAAGGAGGTCCGTGTGGCTAGAGCAGAGTGAGTGAAGGGGCGAGAGGGAGGGGACAAGGGTGGGGTTGGGGAGGTTATACAGAGCCTTGTGAGGGAGGCGGCGCCCTGAGGGCTGTGGGCAGAGAAGGGTGGGACCTGGCTCAGGTGACCAGTGGTGACTCTGGCTGCCGCAAGGAGGACTGCTGTGGGAGCAAGGGCCAGCGCCGTGGGTGGAGTGGAGTGACTGTACTGGTCCAGATGGGTGATGATGGGGGCTGGCCAGGCTGAGGCAGTAGAGGGGGAAAGACGTGGGTGGACGGAGTAGATTTGGACTTGCTGATGGAGGGATGTGGGGAGGGACTGAGAACCTCTTTCTCTGGGGGCAGGTGATGCTGTGATTAAAAGGGTGGTGTCTGGACCAGATGACCTGGGTTTAAATTCCAGCGTGGCCATTTCCCAGCTGTGCAACCTTGGGCGCATCACTTACCCACACCGGGCCTCAGTTTCCCACCTGTAAAATGGTGAGAAGAACCCCTCCCACCTACCCCACCAGGATCTTTTTAATTGATTTCAGAGAGGAAGGGAGAGGGAGAGAGATAGGAACATCAATGATGAGAGAGAATCATTGATCGGCTGCCTCCTGCATGCCCCCTACTGGGGATTGAGCCCCGCAACCCAGGCATGTGCCCTGACTGGGATCATACTGTGACCTCCTGGTGCATAGGTCGACGCTTAACCACTGAGCCACACCGACTGGGCACCCACCAGGATTTTCTGTCAAGCCCCATAGCACAGGGCTGGGAACACAGTGGATTCTCTGTAAGTGTTTGCTGCTACTTCCCTTCGAATGTCTAGTCCTCAGGCTCTGGGAAGAGAAAGGAGGCACAGATTGGGTGGTACGTTCCCCGAGGTCGCTCAGCAAACCCTGGGCCCCTCGCTGTTTCTCTCCATTGATGCACATTTCTCATGACCCATCCCCCAGAGCCCGTATCGCTCTGCCCGTGATTCCCCCATTCCTGAGCTGTGACTCACTTGGACGTGTGGTCTGCTCTGACCCCAGGACCTTCCCTTGGGACCTATTTCCCGCTTTTGTCTTCAAGTTCATTGGCCAGGTCTTCCGTTCCCAGCAGCACTTGGCATAGCCCTGCCTGAGTCCGGCCCAGCATCTCTGAGTGGTGTGTCCCCCTGCCTTTCCTGCCCCCTCCCACTTGGGATCCCTGTGTCCTCCCAGGCAGGGCCTCTGAGCGGGGCAGTGACTGGAGGAATTCTGGGTGGGGGCTCAGCCTGGGGTAAAGGAGGGCTCCCAGAAGCCCAAGTGAGTGGGGCCGGGGTCCCCATCTTCTGCTCTCAGATGGAGGACACCAAGGGCAGAGGCCAGATCTCCTTATCCTCCCTAAAATGGGGCCCTGAGAGCCAAACCTGACTTCCCTCCGCCTCCCAAAACTGGACCCCAAGAGCAGGGCCTGACTCTGTATTTTCTCCAAGTTGGGGCTGAGGGCAGGGCCTGCCCAGGGCCATCCCCACTTGGGAATCTGTGGGTGCCCAGCCCACCAGCCCCAGCCCAGACTCCCTAGGAGCCCCCAGCCCCCTTGGGCCCCCTAATGACTCACTGGGAATAAATGGCACTTGAATTTCCTCGAAATGGTTTCAGCATCACCGAGAAAGCAGCCCCCTCTCCCCCATTCCTAGTTACAAGTTGCTGCTTCCGATTTGCCACCTGGTGGCCCAATTTCCAAACTGATTAAATTAATTACTCGGGAGCAACCCCTCCCCATCTGGGCCAGGAGTCCCAGGGACCTCTCCCCCATTCCAGGTCCTGCCTCTGCCACCTGGTCTCCTCTCTGGTTCCCCGAGTGGCCTGGGGACAGGACAGCCTCTCTCTGGGCCTCCAGACTGTGCAGCCCCATAGACAGATGGCATGTTGTGGGTGCTCAATAAATGTCGGCAAGAGGCAGTGTAGCCACATGCCTGGGTTCAAATGCTGGCTGTCCCCTTCTGTGCTGTGCAGCCTTGGCCAAGTGACTTCACCTCTCTGAGTCTGTTTTTCCGTCTGTAAGACAGAGGTGGTGGGGCTGGTTTCTGTCTCATCTCGGCGTGGACAGGACATGAGTTCATGCATGTGAAGTTCTTGGCCCAGTACCTGGTGCACACATAGTAGGGGCTTCATAACATCTTAGTTGAAATGCCTGCTCTGCTGGGCTTCTGTGGGTAGATGTGCTCAGGTACTCTGAGTACTGTCCTCTTTAAAAGAGACACTCTGCATTCATTGAGTGCTGACTGCATGCCCAGCTCTGTGTCAAGCTCCTGAGACACAGTCCTGGTCATGGCTCAACCCCTGGCCGTGTTGGCACACAGTCGGTGCTCAGAAAATAAATATATCCTTGTAGCTCTTTTAGAAGTAGGGACTGGCCGAAACCGGTTTGGCTCAGTGGATAGAGCGTCGGCCTGCGGACTGAAAGGTCCCAGGTTCGATTC